TTTTAACTTCCCTGATAAATCCCTTAAATCTGCATTCTGTGTGTTCACTGCAACGGATCATTGAACATGGGTGAATAGAGAGGGTTCTGGGAAGATGGCTGGTGCTTCACGTTTTGCATTAGCAATATATATGCAATAAAACATTTGCTATTTCAACCGTTTTGACCTGCACAATCCAACCACACAAACTGCATTTCCAATATTGCACAACCAACACCACAATCCATCTCCAAATCTTTTTGTTTTTCTTTTTTCCTTTTTCTTTTTTCATTTGTGGGAAAGTTCCCATGGTTTGCCCTAATGAGAAAATAAAACATACATTGTTTCCCTTCCAGTTCAATGGGGGGGGGGGGCACAAAACAGACAAAAAGAAAGCAATTTTCTTTCCTTTTCTTTTTAACTGCCTTCCCCATTACCCAAGTTAGCATGTGTCTGTACTCTACCCGATGAATTCTTCTCCTTTCTCTGATGTCCTTGGTAACCATCAAGGAATGTTTATTATAGACTGAAAACTTGTTCTTGACTTTTTACTGTAGTCGTCTCGTACAGTGTCTGCTCCATTGTGAGTCTTTTCACTCAGCATAAGTCCTCCAGGCTCCTCCATGTTATGGGGTATTTTGCAGATTCATTCATCGCTCTTCTTCAATGCCTCATTGTCTGTACTGTGTTTATGTACCAAAGTTTGTTCATTTTGGCTTCCATCTTTTTTACTATTGTGAAGAATGCTGCATTGAAGATGGGTGTGAACATACATTCATGCCACTGCTCTTATTTCTTATGGATATGTACCAAGTAGAGAAATTGTTGGGTCATATGGTATTTCTATTTGCAACCTTCTAAGAAAGTTCCATACCATTTTCTGCAGTGGTGTGCACCATTTTACAGTCCCACCAGCATTGTATGAGGGTCCCATACTTTCCATACCCTCACTAGCATTTTGAACTTTGCTATTAATGCTGAGCCCATGTGAATCTGCCTAAGTGTACTCCTATCAGCCTTGTTCTTCCATTCCCCACCCCCTTCTTGTGTATTGTCTCCCCCTGTACCCCCAGCACCCAATCTGTCCTGTGTCTATTCCCTATCCTGTGCTTTATCTTCCCTTCCCTCCCTCCCCTCGTCTCATCCCATACATCCTGGTGATCAGCAAATATATATAAAAAAATGTTCCCCCTTTTAGGGTGGGTTCTTTTTCTTAGTCTTTTAAAATAATGGTCCTATGTAGTATTTCTCCTTTTGTGACTGACTAATTTCACTCAACATAATGCCCTCAAGGTTCATCCATGTTATGCGGTGGCTTGCAGCTTCTTTGTTGTTCTTCAAGGTAGCATAGTATTCCACTGTGTGTGTGTACCACAGTTTGTTTATCCATTCTTCAATTGATGGGCACTTAGGCTGTCTCTATCTTTTTGCTATTG